TTGTAGACAGCTCCCTAAGACTATAGGTTATGGAGAAGTTGCCAACTTGTTTTGGTTCATGAAGTTTCCCATACAAGAGTTCCCTATCACAGGTACAGTGATATCTACCCCCATAGAATCACAGATCTAAGGCCTAGAAGGGACCACAAAGGTCTTCTAGTACATCCCCCTCATTTTTGCAGATGAGGAAGTTGCTAGGCCCAGAGATGTTAAATGACTAATTCTGGAACACAGAGTAAGAAACATCAGTGGCAAGATTGGAACCTAGTTCCCCTTACTCTGGACTCCAGATATGTCAGGATGTTGTAGAAGAAATTAATTTTAGGGTACAGGTTGGACTACATGGCACCTGAAATTTCAAACTCAAATTCTTTGATTCTTTGAAAATTCAGGAATGAATTCAGAAATCACCATAGGTCAAATTATCCACCTAAATCTTGACCTCTAGTGACACTGTGCACTTGAATGTACTCTTCCAGAACCTGTAACTTAAAAATCTTTGATTTTATCTCATTTGTACTCTGCAGGTTTACTTCAACCACATTTTCAAATGAGTCAGACAATAGGAATTCATAGCTAGCAACTTACCCTTTTTTAGCAGGTTCTATTGACAGCAGGGAAATTGCCCTAGGGCTCCAGCGTCCAGGTACCCAGTAGGGATTAAACTAGTACACACTGGGCTAAAGCCATGCCCATTACACATTTAATCATTGGCTGGAGGAGTAGCAAAGAGGTAGAGAGGTACCTAAGGCACTAACAGATGAACTTGTACCAATAGCCTTATGGACAACTCACAGCCCATTTCTTCCTAGTTCCATGGCTGTTTCCCTCACTGACGTGCTGAGCTCCAAATACTTGTGATTTTGTAAGCTCCTAATTGATCTTCAACCTTCCACTGCTTCCCACTTTGAACTGCCTTTTCCTCTTTGTCTTCCCAATCAGAAGTAGGACTACCACTTCAAGGCAAAAGAAGTTCCCTTTAGAGCCTAAGGGTACATCTCTCCCACAACACACTGCGGTCCCTCTGTTTAATGGCCTCTCCAGTGTTGACAGCAGAATTTTATAGGGAACCCTAGTAATAGCCTTTAATATGACATATTGTATTCTCACAGTGCATATTGTATGTGTTTTGCACATGAGATACTCTTCCTTTGTTCAATGAACAAATGAATGCAGTCAATCTTAAGTATGTCTAGTTTAACAAGGGCTAGAAGCCCAACCTTAATTTACTCCATTCTTGAGTTTTGCTCTAGATAGTCTACTGAGTCAACCCAGGTCAAGGATTATGCAGCATCCCATCTGTGAACTATAAGATAAATTTCTGCTCCTTAGAAACACATTGTCAGTCTGAGTTACATATGCTTTAGCAGCCAAATGTTTAAACAGCTTCTTGGCATTGGTCTCACAAAAGCTTGCTTCCTTTGCATTATACTGGATAATTGTTTTTCTTAGACAATATAAAACAAAGATCTTTTTGTTGCCAACCCATCAGATTTCATTAAGTTCTAAACATTGTTCTGGAATTGTTTTATATATTGTTAATCACAGTTCAGAAACAGGATCCATCTTAAAGTAGATTGAAGAATCTTTGAGGACAATTCAAGAAACAAGCTGAAAAATATTATATGGCTGACTTATATGAGCATGTGTTTGTAGAGATAAAAATTATCAAATATACATATGTGTATATATGCATATTACATATATTATATAACATATACACATATGTAATATGTGACATATCATAAATGGAGAGAGAGGAGGGGGAGTGCAGTAAGGCATAATGGATTGAGATCTGGCCTTGAAACTTCTTATACCTGCTAACTGTGTGACCCTGGATAAATCACTCAACCTCTCAATGCTCTAGGCACCTTAAGTCACAGATAAAAGTGCCAACATTCATTGGTAGATGGAGTTTCATTACCTGGGAGTTAGCATGATAAATCTGGTCTAGTGGTTGAAAACTTTGAATATTAGACTAAGAAATCTTAACAGTACTCATCAGGAAACAAATAAAGGTTCTATCAAATTATTGGAAGTGGCCTGGCATAGTGATGGACCACAGAAAATAACATCCCATAATATTGGAGTCAAACTACCATTCCATTTTCCATTCCAAAATGTGTTGTTCTTTGAGGCATACACACACACACACACACACACACACACACACACACACACATATATACACATATATGGCAATAGGATGAGAAAATGTTATCATTTTTACTTAGCAGATATCATAAAGTTTGCCCTGGATCATTTGATGACAGAACTTACACCCTAATGGGAAAATGACAAACAAGAAAGAACAGTATTAAATTCCTCTTCTTTACCCAACATAGTCCTTTTCTCTCAAATTCATATAGAATAGTAGATTTAACCCTTGTTATATTCAGTGTGATGCTGATGATTTATTTGATGAATTAAAGAAAAAATGATGGAGCTATCCCAACTCATACTTTGATGCTTTGACATTTCAAACCATCCTTTATTTCATCCATAAGTGTATTCACTCCATCAATGCTGACTGCAACCCTTCTATGCCTTAATAGACAGTCTTCATGAGTTGTGGTTAAAATATTTTTTAAAAATCCATAGTAACCTTCTGGTGAGATGTCACGTATATAGGTTCATGCTTGGATGACAGGCACACAGTATGTCACTTGAGTCCTATTTCTACCTAAGCTTACTTTCTGCTGATCCAGTCTTCAAACCCAGAGTCATCTTTCCACAAGGAAGCATTAAATTAGGATTTTAATGGAAGATTCTGATTCATAAGTATTTAGGGTTTGACTAAAAAATTAAGGCCCAATGCAAATTTTCAGCATAAAGAAAATTAAAAGAAAAAAATAGTGAGAGATCCTTTTTTGTCAATTCTTTGACATTTCTTTTAATGAACCGCATAAAACTAAAAGCAAGAGCAAATGGCTATGTAACCTGCAAAGTTAGATCCATAGCACTTATCAAAGCATAATATAATAGATGGTTACAGTTAATAGATCTTCTCCCCAAAAACATCTTTTGGTAGAAACTGACTATATAAGGTTGATTATCCCCCAGATTACTCAAATGCTTTTATCTGTCTAAAGATCCATTTTTCCAATACACTTTTCCTTGGAGATCTAGAATTTTACATCAGCAGAAACATGCCTCATTGGTGTTTTTGTCTAGGGAGGATGGCCCAAAGGTAAGGGAAATGGAGAAACTGAGATGCTAGATTTGGGAAATGAAACTAGAGAAGTTAAATGACTTGGGCAAGGTCATACAGCTGATTGGTGGAATCCAACCCAGGTTGTCTGATACCTAATTAGTGTTCTTTGCATAATATCACACTGGAGGATAGCTTGATTAAGAAGTTCATTTGGGAAAAATAATGAGAAATTACCTGACAAAGAGGCAGGGGTTCTTCCTCCAACGTAGACATCCTTAAAATGAATCTCTGGAAGCAAAGTCTGTTTCTTCAAGCGAGTCACAGGTTATTCAAGTTTGGTCTTTTGAGCACAGGTCTCTATTATTATTCCCTTCTCCCTAAATGAATTGGCTTTTAAGGTCTGACTTATTTATTCTTCTACCTTCTCCCACATTAATCTTCCTTCCCTTGACTAATTCACTCTTTCCAGTTTCATTCTCTTAAAAAGAATTGCAGGGGGTGGCACAGTGGATACAGCATAGGCCCTGGAGTCAGGAGGACCCGAGTTCAAATCCAGCCTCAGACACTTGACACTAGTTGTGTGACCCTGGGCAAGTCACTTAACCCCGATTGCTTCACCAAAAAAAAAAAAAAAGAATTGCAGTGATCACCCTAGCCCCACATGAATACATACATATGTGTATATATTCATATATATATATTTATGTAGATAAAAATATATAAAATTTTACTCATATTGTATTTGATTAAGTTTTATGTATATATAAACTTAGATAGATAGATAGATAGATAGATAGATAGATAGATAGATAGATAGGTAGATAGATAGATAGATATTAGATGTATTTCCTTTGCAGGGTCTTAATTTTTCATATCTGGGGGATTTTTTTTAGGTTGCTCCTGCTTTAAAGAGAAGTATGACCTGACATCCAGAGGCTTTACTGTAGCACTTTCTTATTTCCCCACACAGGAAACTCATGTCATTCCTTTGCTCCTAGCATGCCTTCCCTCCCCCTACATGTCTTCCTACAGAACTTCTTCCTATCTTTCAGGTATAACTTTACCCCACCTCATCTGTGAAATATCACTTGAGTACTTTAGTACAGTGTACTCCCTTCCCTTCTAAAATCGTATCACACTGACTACAGTACCACATATCAAACATGCACTGTCCTCAATTTTAACTTCATGAAAAATTGCACCATGGATTTGGAACTGGAAGGGATGGTGAAGGATAAAAGGGATGGTAGAGAATCCAGTGCTCTCATTTGTCCTAAGAAAACTGAGGTCCAAAGAATGGCTAAATGACTTGCTGAAAGCCACACAGATAGCAAATGCAAAATCTGGGACTCAAGCTCAGGTCCCCTACATTCAAAGCCAGTGTTCTTTACCTGTCGACAAAAATGATTCCTCCTTAAGGACTGAGAACCTGTTATATGTGTCTTTATATCTCATCCTCCCTAATATTAAATACAATACCTTGCCCATAGTATATACTAAATAAATATTTATTTGGTGAATTAAATTTGTTCAATGAATTTATTGAATGAAAACAAATAGATAATGGGGAGATTATCCTGATAATGTGGAGACCAAACCCCTTTCTGCCTGAATTACTTGAAACTGCCTACTCTTTACTGGATATATGTATTTGGATAGTCATCTCCACTCCCTTTTTTATAGACATCCAACTGAAAAGTAGGGAGGTTTGGTTGCCAGGTTCTTGCTAGCCTAACCTAAGCTAATACAGCTGTTCTGACCTGCTAATCTTTTTTTCTTTTCTGACATTTGAGGAATTATATGAATTCTAATAACCCATTGTCTTTGTCATTCTCTGCCCCCACAGAAGATAAAGTGTGGTCAACTGTAAATCATGACTTGCAGAAGCAGACTCCTGTGGTCGGCTATAGCCCAGAAAAATACTCGGTGGTACAGCTCAATTACAGTGCCTCCATGGATCAAATCACGGCCATCACCAGCAGCGCAGAGTATTGTGAGCAGTTTGTCTCCTATTCTTGCAGGATGTCAAGGTTGTTGAACACCCCAGGTAGGCTGAGAATGGAATGTCACTTTTAATTACTCTCTCAGCTGGTGGCTGGAATTGGCTAAACAATTCAACAGGTGCAGGTACCTAGTTCATCCCTCCAGAGGCTGGGCTTAGGTGAGCAGGCAGCAGTAAATGAAAGGAGTAAAATCTCTTATTTTCTCCAGGGAATTAGACAAAGAATGCATGATTCTTGATTTGATGGGCTTGCATTATTCATAGATTTATTTTCTTGTGTTTTATTCTTTTCTGAGGCTTTTTGTTAGGAGAAGGGCCTTTGGTAAAAGATATGTTGGGCTTAATATAAACTTAGAGGAAAGTTAGTTCAACCTGTTTAAGTTTTGCTTCCTTTAATGTAAAAGAAAAAGGCTTTTAATTCTGAGTCTACTAGTGTTCTTTGCCTCTGGAAATTTATCATTATCCACACCGCCTCTCATGTATTGGCATGTATGCTATCACTTATCCCATCACCAGAGCTGTCACTAGGATTTCTAGTGCCTAGGGCAGATTCCCTTAGGGGAAGAGATCATCTAAGATATAAGAAGGCCTCACCTCACTTTGCCTGACAAATTCCCTATGAATGGGTCCACAGGTCCAGCAGGAGTTTGATATATTTATAGTGAAGTGAACAGTCTGCTTTGATTCCATCCAGCACCTCCAACAGAGGAGCCAGCCTCCACCCATGGCTGATGACTCCAACTTGTTGGAGGAAATTACTAGTGGAATAAAGCTTGAGGCATGGTGGTGAGGGGAAGGCAGGCCCTAGGGGGCATGATGGAAATAAGACTCTTGTCATGGTGGACTGTGGCCAGACAGAGGAATAGGGATGGTCGTGCATAGTTTCAGAGGTACTGGAAAGTTATGAAACATGGAATTGACAGGACAAAAAAGTGTATTCTGCTTCTCCCTCAGATGTTGGTAAGCGGGCACAAATCCCCCGTCATCTATGCTAATTATAATTTTGGCCATTGTATTGATGTATTTTGTATATATTGGTTAAATGTCTGTGGTGTCCTTGTTTGGGAACAAGTGATGTCTTTCTTCTGGGAGACACCAAATAACACTGTGGTTAAAATGATGTGATAAAATAGATTTGATTTATTTGGGCGTACAGTTAGAGAAAAAAGCACTATGAATGTGTGTGAATGTTATTATTTTCTTCCTCACTTTTTTTTTTTGGTGATGGTGTTTTTTCATGAGAGATAGGATCCAGATGAACTTAATATATAGATTGCTTGTGAGGGGATTAGAACAGCAAATGTTTAATTGTGGGAATTGAGTGAACCACACTGATTCCATCTTGTGACTCACTTCTGGAGCTCAGTTCCTTTTCTGTATAATTATGGGTCTAGTCCAATTTCTGCCTTGTAAGAAAATTTCATTCAATTATAGGAATTGTGTGTGTGGGGGGGAGAGTATTGCATTATTTAAACCTAGACCTACATGGCTGAGAAGCTGGGCCATCTCTGCATGTTGCTTAGAGACCCTTAACTAAGGATCTAGGTTATGCTGAGTAGAAACCAAGTCAGAAACAAATATAGATGCAAGGAGTTTTCTTACAAATACACATATTAAGCAACTCATCTGCCTGATCTGAAAATTGACACCATACTGGTCAGTTATTGTTTCCATGTTCTTTTAATTGAATGCAGACACTTGAGGGGGAGTGGGATTTCAGAGAATTTCCTTTATTTCAGGGAATTGGACCTGTTTGCTCTCTCCCTCCCAACTTGGAAAGTCCTTAATCTTTACTCCAATTTGAAATCAGACTATCTAATTTTGTATTCTTGTTAATTCCTTTCTTTTAATTAATCAGTTTTATTTGATTAACCGATTTTAATACATAAAAATCTGTCTCCCCCTCTGGGGTCTAGTGCCAAAGCTGAGGAGACTTTGTCCTAATTTGTTAGACAATTGGCATGCATTGCTTCATAAATTGATATACTAGGTAGCTCAAATCTTTGTTTCCTCAGTCATTCCATCTTTCACCTGCCACATTTGAGTCTTTATTTATATTGGGATAAAAGTTGAACTCAACCAAAGAAAGAATTTTGATTCAGCAAACATTTAACAATGCCTGCTATATGCAAGAGATATAGGTTAAGAGCATAGCAGTGTCGGAACATGAAAACAGTCACTTACCATACCACACACTGGTTTAAAATTAAGTAGTGCGTGGAGGACAGGACTTGGGACCAGGAATATATAGGTTCAAATTCCACCACAGACATTTATTAATTATGTGACCCTGGGCAAATCACTAAAACTCTTCATGCCAGCTTTTTTTTGTGTGTAAAATGAAGGTATTCAATTCTGTGACCTCTAAGCTTTCTATCTCTAAATCTGTGATCCTATGATACCATAGTCTCAATGATCTGTTCAGTTCTCTGAATTAGCATAAAAGGTAATCAAACTTAGAAGGAGTTGCAAGGAAAATACATCTTAGTTCTCAGAGTGTGCTATATGTACTAGGTGTAAATGTGATCAAGATCAACCATCCAGCAGACATTCGTAGACATCTATTTGTGTGGGAGAGTCAAAGAAAAATAGTATGCCATCCCTTTAGGATTCTATCAACACAAAGTGGAGAATTTTGTCTTGATAATTAAATCCAACAAACACTTGCTGTTTCCTGATAATAGAAATGAACCTGGGACTGGGCTCTATACTCAAATTTTGGAGAGAGAGAGAGAGAGAGAGAGAGAGAGAGAGAGAGAGACAGAGAGACAGAGAGAGAGAAACAGAGACAGAGACAGAGAGACAGAGACAGAGAGACAGAGAGACAGAGAGAGACAGAGAGAGAGACAGAGACGGAGAGAGACAGAGAGAGAGAGATTAGCAATACAGCTTGTTGTGTGATGGACCATGCATAGGTATTGGCATGGCAAGAACTAGAGCCTAGGTATCTTGGCTTCCAGAGAATATTTCTTTCCATGATACCCTGTTATCTCTATTCCTTTGTTATTATCCCTCTTCTCCCGTTCAAAGTCTGCTCTTTGACCATGGTAGCATGTAAACTGACAGAGAAGAGACTACAAGGTTATACCTCCCAGGGAAATCATATAACAAAAATTAGAACATTAAGCTAAAGTGATGAAGCTCTCAGAATTGCAGTATTTTATATCAACTGGCTGGTGTGTTTGGGGGGAAGTTTTGAGGGGATCTCTCTGGAGTCCTAAAATCATAAATAATATTCTGCCTAAATATAAGGTGTCCCTGAACTTATCCTTTATAGTCTATGCAAGTCATGTATTTCATATACAAGTTATTTAACCCTGTTCTTATGACAGGCCCCACCCCTTTCATTCTCATATTAAGAGAATATGATGGATTTCTTTTTCTTTTTAGTTTTTCTAACCCCCTGGATAGCTCTTGAAAGGAAAAGTATTGGTTGTCACAGAAAGTTTCTTTATTCTGTAGTATTATATATGTATCAAAATAAGGAAGAATACATTTTAATAAAAATATTTAATTTGCCATTTTAAAGAGCTAATGGATGTTAAAATTGTTTTTTTTTTCCTTTCCTTCTTGGTGACACTCAATTTTAAGTATCCATTTACTTGTACTTAACTAAGACTGAATTATATTGCAACTTCGGCAGAAGTACATGTGACATCTGTTTGAATATAAAATGGATTCATTATAATCATTGAAATTAAAATGAATATCAAATGAGCTTGTAATAGCAATGCATTTAAAATGTTATTCTTTATTTTGAGAGTCTCACCCTCATGAGTTCATTTGGTGCCATATAGTTTCTAATGATACTTAAAATAAGATTTTTAGTTGGTATTTCTATCTCACTTCAATTTTGATGAATGTTCCATTGTAATTTAGCATTAATTAAACACAAAAGTACTCTTTATTGCTGTTCTTCAACTTTCTCCAGGATTATAATGTATGGTTTGCCATCCTATTGTGACATGTTTCCATGGTTGTTGTTTTTCCTTCACTAATAAAATATGGAGTCTAATTTGTGAAGGTTTAACAATCTGGAACTACTTTTCACTAAAAGTTTGCCAGCACTTATTTTGCAAATTAGGAAACTGAGACCCAGAAAGACTGAACTACTTGTCCAAGGACACAAAACAGAGCTGACATTTTGACTAAGGTTTTCTGAATCTATTCCATTACCGTACCTCCTGAATATATTACATACTTTTTTTTTAAACTCCTAATGAAGACTTACACAGGTCTTCATACAGAATTTTCCTGCTTTAATTATAAAAATTTTACAGACTTTGAAACAAAAACACAAATAAAAACAAACTGCTGTTTGCAGATGATGTTTTTATGTATCATGACCAATTAATGAGATTAGCTGGTGGGTGTAACTAAGGATGAGCAAATATATACTGTCCAAATACAGAAATCTTTAGATGGCTACTCAGAAAAACTGAAATGTCAATACACTTTGTTTTTGTTGTTGTTATTCATTCATTGAAGTTATTTCTGACTCTTCATGATCCCATGGACTTCTGTCCATGGGTTTTTCTTGGCAAAGATAGTAGAGTGTTTTGCCATTTCCTTCTCCAGTGACAAACAGAGGTTAAGTGACTTGCCCAAAGTCACACAGCTAAGAAGTTTCTGAGGCTGAATTTGAACACAGATCTTCCTGACTCCAAGCTCAGATATCTGTCCACTGTGCTACCTAGCTGTTCCTGTCAACATCCTTTGGGGGAGGTTAATTAGGACTACAAATTTAAAGTTATTTGAATTTGCAAAATGTACTGTACATGAGAATACACATATTAGTGAAATATTTTCATTGATCACTTGTCTCTGATTACTTAGAAAATCAGAAAAAGATCCTAACACTAGGACTAATAAGAGTCCTTGTAAGGGATCTAACCATTTCACAAAAATCCTGAGAGGTAAGTCAGCATAGTGGATTGAACACTGAACTTGGGAGACAAGAGAACTGCACTCAGAGGAATATGTCCTCTGACACATTGGACGCTGATAGGTAGCACAGCAAGTAAGAGCAGAATTAGTAAGACTAG